GGACCCGCCCCGGCACATGGGGGGGGGGGGAATTCTGGGAGTTGAAGTCCACACATCTTCAAGTCGCCAAGGTTGAGGAACCCTGCCTTAATGGACTAATTTATGTGATGCACACTAGAAAACAGTCTATCACAACCACAACCACAGTCACAATCACTTCAGGTGCTATACAAAAAGCATACATATTTGTGTTTTCTATTGATGTCTTCTCAACAATTTGTTCTTTCCATGGGAAGGAAGGATGGAACATCCCTCAAGAAATTTAATTTCAATATATTTCAACAGATTAAAATGGTTCTGTAGAACAGTGTTTGTCATCAACAACCAAAGTTGTTTATTGTTTCCGTGGCAAACTATCCTTTCTTTTATACTTAACGTTATATTCCTTCTTGAATAACTTACTTACTTACTTACTTACTTACTTACTTATTTATTTATTTATTTATTAAATTTGTATCCCACTGCAATTTCATGACCCTCAGTGATGTACAACATATGTAATAATAAAACATCCACAGTAAGATTTAATTACAAACAAAAAAGATAATTAAAATAAATTTTAAAAATTAAAAACTGCATAACCATAATACTGAAAATAAAAAAAGTTAAAGATGGTGCAGTAAGTGAGAAGTATTGGAATAGTATCCAGAAAAGCTCAGTTTTTAATAAGCTTCTGAAAGCTGTTAAGAAGGGGACTAGCCTGATCTCCGCATGCATATACAGTTCTAAGATTAAAAAAAAAACAACACACACACACACACTTTGAAATTGTATTTTCCATAATCCATTCTTTTATTAAAAGTATCACTATTTATGTTTTCAAAATGTTTTTTCCCTTTAAAATATTATTAATTCAGTGTAATTAGAATTATATTAGCAGTTAGGTTAAAGAACTTCTGTCAAAAAATATTTGAAATGATAATGATTTTTTCTTGTTATTGTTTCAATTAGCCATTTGTTGTTTGGTTTCTTATGGAAGCATCAAAAAAAGTTACAATTTACAGTTTACCCATTACAAGAAGGCAACTGGAGGAGAATCTTGCAAATAATCTTTGGCTTTCCTTGTGAATAAGCAATTTTAGTTTTTGAGTGTTCCAAAGCAAAAATCCAGAGTACCATTGGCAGTAATTCAATAAGCACTCATTTTCCCTCCCCTTAAACCTACTAAGTGCCACTGACATGAATTGCAATTGTGTTACAATATGTTTGATGCATGGAAAGTCAAAGCATAGTCTAGTTAAGGTTAGCATCTTTTGATTTTATTATCAGTGGAATTGGTAAGATCACTTATAAAATTCTTCCATTGAAATTGGTGTAATTAGGTTCAAGTTTGTCATGTCCTTGGTCATTTATTTGTATATTAATGTACACTATGTAAAAGCTGCAACAATTAACATCCTTCCCCAAAAGGAAAAATAAAATCTATTGTACTTACTATAGAATGTTTGGGAGATCCACAGACTCAAAATAAAATCACAGTCCACAATCCTCTTTCAGAACATAGAATCTTAATCCAAATAATATCAGAAAGATTAAAAACTTATTATCAGTTCACCCGGTAAAAATGATGCAAGACATATAATAAAAAAACAATATACCTTAGGATGAAAAAGAAACCGTTACACAAATATAACCTTTAATATTATTAAAAACATTAATTGACGTTTTCATTTTTTAGTACTAATAAGCAAAATGTTATTTAGTTAGTGAAAGGCATTTGGAACTCAGAGAAAACTTAATCTGGGAGAATAATTTTTGAATTTTGACCTAGAAGTCTTTCTGTAGCTGTTTTGGTTTTAAGTATGTTGCAATAGGAGGTCAAAAATAAAAGATTAAACTTTTTTGTTTTAAGAAGAATGAGAAATACATTTAAAGATGGAGTTACTTTAAACATCTTTTAAGCTTTTGGACTAAGGATGTGCCGGCATGCAGGAGCATTTTAATAAATCCAGTCAAAAAGCAACTAATTGATATAATAATAATAATAATAATAATAATAATAATAATAATAATAATAATAATAAAAAACATACCCATCCCTCACTCCACTAAAAACAACAACAGTAATTAACATTACTTGATTGTTCAGTCTCCTTCAGGAATCCTGAAATATTTTTCCCGAAGGAAAACCTCCATATCTGCTTTCACTCATACACTAAAAAACTGACTTCAAACTGCAGAGAAAAATCCCTACTAGCTTCCTTGAGATTCTTCTAAAGCATTATTTCGGGGTGGGGAAGGGTCAAGGCAGGGCTTTATGTGATGGTTTCTTTTTGCACCCATGACATTTTTCCCAAAGTACCTTCCCTCCCATGGAAATCATATTACTATGTAAAAATGATATGTGACATGTTATATAATCTAAAGTTTGCAAATACTGTATAATGGAGGAATAATAAATTTAAAAATTTTGAATAGGCACTTACTGGAATTACAGTTAATCCAGATACAGTCTAGATGGGGAAGAATAGATGAAAAATGAAAATTTATCCTTCAAAGTATTAGCTGCAGACATCCAGTAAAATCACATTCCACCCTTCCGGGGACAGACACATGCAAACATGGCCACTATATGTGTTTTGATTCTTTCTGTATTGCCAGAGAATGCAGTTATATGGTGATAAGACTTTAGAAGTAGAAGAAGTGATAATAGGGTAACAAAAAAATGGCCAATTTCAAACAAAGCTACATGGTGACAAATCTAAGTGAGAAAAATGGTTTGTGGCAATTGTTCCAGTCAGTGGATTGAAGCTGGCTACAACATTCTCTCCCATATATGAAAGAACAGAGAAATATCCATTTTACTTTCAAAAAAGTGCTCCGTCACAATGGGGAATAGTGCTTGCCAAGGCTAAAATCGCACATTCTGGGCCACCGATATTACCTCAGAGGAGGATACAATTTTCAAAACTTAAAATAGCAACTGCCACACTTAAACTATTTTAGAAAATTACTTATCAATTTCTGCAATATCTGTAGCTC